TGGTGTTTTTTGTTCCTTGAGTTGCTTTTTAATGTTGCAGCTCATTTGCACCATGAAGTGTTTAAATCCAGACATTGTAGGAGCCATGGTTGCATCCTCTTGTCTGGAACTGCAAATGGGACTTATCGGGGAAGCATAAAATCTTCTCATTCATTGCTTTTTGCTGATGAGTCCAGTAAAGGTACAGGAGTAGGTAGGATACTATCAATCAGCTGTTACCTGGCGAATGCTAATTATACTGTAGATAGCTTCCTTTTTTCCCTTTACAACCAGAATCCAGGGTTTCCAAATTGGAGATGAATCTCACTTGCCCGGCCAGCATGATTTTATTTCATCTTTATAATGCACTTGAGTGATACATTCTCATTTAATAGCATTCTTAGAAAACCCTGTATTTCTTTTGGCCTCCTCAGAGATTGAGACAGTGAAGCTAGCCCGCTCAGTTTTCAGCAAACTCCACGAGATCTGCAGCAGCTGGGTGAAAGACTTTCCACTGCAAAGGAGGCCCTACCGCTATTATGAGACATCCATCCATGCCATCAAAAACATGCGCAGGAAGATGGAAGACAAGCATGTCTGCATTCCTGACTTCAACATGCTCTTCAACCTTGAGGTAAAGGGGGCTGGTGTGGGTCAGTTAACCTACTGAATATGGGTTTTGGGAAATTAGTAAGCATTTTATTGTGAAAACAAAAGATGTATATATGACGGGCCTTAGATAGTTGGGCTCCAAGAGAGACACGCCTCATCTAACTTAGTTCAGTGAGCGTGGTGCAAATATTTATGGGTCTCACAGAACGCCCATACCCTACATAGGATATGGGTGGCCTTCTTATAATCTAGAAACTTGCATTCTGCTGGCAATAGAAGAGCAGAGAGAACAATATAGGATGCATTCACCATCGTGGAGATTGAGAGCAGCATGGGTTCTGCAATGCTCCTAGGATTTAGTGGCCTGAGACTCAACAGTAACAGAGTTCCCCCAGTGGCAGCCAGTGCATTGTGTTACTAAGGAGTAAGCTAAGGCAGGATCCTCTACTTGACTGAAGATTGCCCAGATAGCAGTGAATCACAGAGAGGTGATGGTGCAACTCATAGCTTGTTACTGCTGTCTAGTTGCCTGCTGAGCCAGGCCTGTGCTGCTGGACTACCATGTTTCTTGGGAGAAACATCAAGAAGTCAAAGGCAGGAGTAGGAAAGGAGGTAAAAACAGTCCTCCTGGGAGAGTAGGTTCACAAAAAAAGCCATGAAGACCAACTTTTTGGTAGATCCTGGCCCAGGTGTACTTTCATCCATCTCTTCATATCACTTATCAGCAAAACCCTCGTGCAAGCTTTTCTTCAGATGTAAAATCTGAGACATTGTGAAATCGCAAGTATGTGAAGTAGCAAGAATTACACAACCTGGATGAGTATGATGGAAAAATTGATTTGTATTATGCGTTGTCAGTTTAATAACCATTTTCTTGCACCCTATCTTAGTTCTTGCCTTTAAGATGTATTCTGTTAATGCAAACTGAGGTAGGTTTGTTTCCTATGCCTGTCAATTATCACCTTTCTTCAGTCAAATTTGTGTTGGAGCCTATCACTTAAAAATTACAAGGTATAAATATTGTAGTCATTTAGATGGCTGTCAAGGTAGAGTGGGCACTGATAGTGGGTTGGTGAGTTGTGTGTATGAATTGGGTGCAGAAGTTGATGTCTCTTGCTACAGGATCATTGTTTCCTCTGTGAGCAGTTTGGGCAAGACAAGAAACCTGAGTTGAAGATGAAGGATTCTGCCTATCTTGATCTGAGAATGTGATCACACTTAATTACCTGATGAGATAGTACATATTAATGTATTAATTACAGACACTTGAACTGATGTGGATTGAATAAAAACCTTAGCACTATGTGGCTTCATAGTTTAATGCCCTAGCATTTTACCTCTAAGAAACTGAATTCAAATCTGGATTTATGCATTTTGCTTGCAATACATGGTGGTCTCACCCTGCTGTTCAGCTCACAAAGCCTTGCCACACTTTGGTGTGAATGACAGTTTTTATTCAGGAAAAGTTTAGGGATTGAATAACTGAAGGTATAACAAAACAGATGTGAGGTGCATTAGCAGAGCTATGCAGGTGATGCATGCATAATACCTGCCTATGCTAAGCAAGTGCAATTTGTCAACTATATAATCTGTGTATGCATATTCCCACATTACGATAAACAAAGAATTTATATAGCTGAGTTCTCAAGTAGAGATTCTGCCTCTCTAATGGCATTATACCACTAATGTGAAAGCACAAGGGGGACACCAGTAATCTCAAGTTAAATGGTTTTAATGACAGTTCAGTTAACCAATTGCACTGCTTATCTTCATTAGTTTTTGATTCAAGGTTGTCTCTTGGCAGGACCAAGAGGAGCAAGCATATTTTGCAGTATTTGATGGTCATGGAGGGGTGGATGCTGCCATCTATGCCTCCATCCATCTCCATGTGAATTTGGTACATCAGGAGATGTTTCAACATGACCCAGCGGAGGCACTTTGTAGAGCATTCCGGGTGACAGATGAACGCTTTGTTCAGAAAGCAGCCAGAGAGGTGAGTTAGTATCATTATTTTGGAGAGAGAGGGAAAGTTTTTGACTGAAGATTTTTTTTATTACTTCTATTTAAAAATGAAAAAATTACGTGAATTTCAAGCTGGGGAGAGATGGAGAGCAAACATCCTACACATCTGAGTTCAGCATCTCTCTCAACCACCAGTGCACCCCTGTTCGGGATGGGACTTGACAATCACCTTTCCCTTTCATTCCTGTACAACCACATCCCTTGCTTCCTCAGACCTGGTAGGCAGCTTTTTCTGCAGCCAATGCTTGACAGATAGCCTCATTGACTCTTGTTCACTAGAGCTCATGCATGACACCTCTGTAATGAACCTGGAAAGCAGGAAATCCACCTCTGTCCTTGAACCCAAGTCTTCAGGGTGATAAAATCACCAGATGGCCAGGGATTGCCATGAATCATTTCAGTGAGCCCTCACGAGGATTAGGAAATGACAGAAATGGATTTGGAAAGGAGTAACGTGCAGTTGTCCTGCCTCTCTCGAAGTTGGAGTTAAAGTAGGGAGCAAAAGGCCCCAGGCTGTGCAAGAGATGCACATTATCCTACACCCAGCGCTGTCTCCCAGGAGCCAAATTGGAATCTTTTTCTTCATGTTGCTTTATTCATGGATATTACTGACTTAGCATCATGGGAAAGGAAACAACTAAGGATTATAAAAATGGCTATTGGATTGAACCTTACTTATTAGTCACCTTTTGGTTCTCTTGCACCTAGAACTGCAGCCAGCATACCAATGGCACTGTGTAAGTTCACAGAGTCACTGACTAAAGCCAGCTGATTCTGAACAAACTGGAAGCACTAGATTTTAGCATCCACCAGAAGTTTTGGTAGATTGAGTATGTAGGTAGGGCCTGATGCTGCAGTCCGGGTGCATGCAAACTATACTCTCTGACTTTGGGAGTCACGTGCATGTACAGACTGCAGGGGCAGGCCCAGGTCCCTTTGGAATTTTTAAGCTTGAAGTAAGTAAGGTCAAAATCCTCAATTCCATGTTAAATTTCACAAAGCCTCTTAGATTCCATGGTACATTGTATTTGCCAACTGATTACTAATGAACCTGAAATCTTCACAGACATGGCCAGTAGGTACTGGGTTGAATCTATGCTGTCAATGACACCCTTCTCCTTCTCTTGAAAATACTTTCCCTTACTACCTGTCCCTAGTATTTCAGTTCTGGCTCTAGGGGGAAGGCTTTTGCTTAAATAGCACTAGCTCACCTCACACACAGCCTTGAGTATTCACAGATTTTTAAATAGGACATTGGTATGGGAATGGGATACAGATTCTTCCACTTATGGGACACTGGTTCAAATCCAGCTCACGGTGGCAGTGGCCAGATACTCAATGACTGTGTTTAGTTGGGGAAAGGTCTGAGTCTATTGGCTAGTGGGTTTGTCTACATCACAGAAACCACCATTACAGTTGGTACTAAGTTCCCCTTTGTTGGCATTCTCACTACAGAGGCCAATGAGTGAATGGGTCAAAGAGGTTTAACTATCACTCCAGGTCAGGAGTCAGCTGCTGTTCACAGCATAGTTGACCACTGAATAAGCAGAGCACTTCATTCTCCAGGACTGTCAATTTAGCACCTTTCACAACCACTAAAATACATTTATGAAGGGGGAGGAGTGGTTCCATTCTTGTGTTCTTATACTTACTGTGTTTGGTCTTGGATTACTTTTTTAAAATTCTTTCATAGTGTCACAAAGACATCACATTCCTTAGCACTGTTCATGTAAGGTGGATCTCGAGATACTTTGAGTGAGTCACTCTCTGAAGTAGTTAAGTTAAACCAATTCATTTTACAGATGGGAAAACTGGGTGCCCGAGACGGTTACACAGTGAATCAGTGGCAAAGCACAGGATTTGAACATTAGACTTTCACCAGACATATAGGACAAAATTGTGCCTTCAATTACTCACATTCAGCCATGCTGGCTTTGGGGGAGAGAATGGAATGGTAGTAAATGCAGGACAAATGCAGCCCCATTTCTCCGTCATTAGAACAACCCTGCTTATTTGACTGTCAGCATGTTCTGCTTTGAGGGAAGCTGTGAAAACTGTTCCAAGGCATTTCACTTTCATTTGCCCATTTAAAACTAGTAGATGATATTTTTTTCCAGAGCCTACGGTGTGGCACCACTGGTGTGGTAACATTCATCCGAGGAAATATGCTGCATGTAGCTTGGCTTGGTGACTCCCAGGTGATGCTTGTGAGACAGGGCCAAGCTGTGGAACTAATGAAGCCTCATAAACCGGATAGAGAGGTAAGACTGGCCTGTTTTAACTGAAGATGGATAGCTTTTCACTTTTCATATTTATTTTCTGACTTCAAACAAAGATTTATGATTGCTGTCTGCATATAAAAGAACTTCTGTACTATTGATCAACTGCCTTTTCTATCTCCTTTGGAACAGCTGAGCAAGCAGCTGTCCAGTTACTCCAATTGCTTTGGATAAGATTACTGACTTGTCAAAATCTTTTGTTCTGATCTGGTAAGGGGGCAGGATAAAACCTCAGCAGAAACTGAAGCACTAATCTTTACAGTATGGGCTCAGGACTGCTGTGCATGTGAAAACACCGATACATTAATGAAAGCACCCAGAATCTTTTTTTTGGCAACAGAGACCTGATCAACTCTTATGTTGCCTTGCGGTTTAGGATGAGAAGAAGCGTATTGAGGCCCTTGGAGGCTGCGTGGTCTGGTTTGGGGCCTGGAGAGTGAATGGGAGTTTGTCTGTCTCCAGATCTATTGGTAGGAAATGTACTTTAATTCTTGCATCCATTTCTCTTCCCTGTTTTAATTTCTATTGATCACACTGTGTAATACAACAGATAAATAGAACCAGGAACAACTATCTCAGTTTTTCTGGAAAACAGATGCTGGTCTAGCCTGTTATTCCAAGAGACTCCTCTTAATTTAGGGAAAAGAATAATTGGTTCCTGGTCTGAGAATTAATAAAAGGGTTCCCAGGATGCCACCTCTCACTCAGCTTGCCAATCAAAAACCTGAGATTTGAAATATCTTTGCTTTCCATTTTCCACAGGGGATGCTGAGCACAAGCCATATATTTGTGGAGATGCAGACTCCGCCTCCACTGTACTGGATGGGTCTGAAGACTACCTCATTTTAGCCTGCGATGGCTTCTATGACACAGTAAATCCTGATGAGGCAGTGAAGGTGGTGGCTGACCACCTGAAGGAGAATAATGGAGATAGCAGCATGGTGGCACACAAATTAGTGGCATCAGCACGGGATGCTGGCTCCAGCGACAACATCACTGTCATTGTGGTATTTCTCAGGGACATGAATACAGCAGTAAATGTTAGTGAGGACTCAGACTGGACAGAGAACTCTTTTCAAGGAGGACAAGAAGATAGTGGGGAAGATAAAGAAAACCATGGAGATTGCAAACGGCCATGGCCTCAACACCAGTGCTCAGCGCCTGCAGATCTAGGGTATGATGGGCGAGTGGATTCCTTCACTGATAGAACTAGCTTGAGCATAGGGTCCAAAATTAACCTGTTTGAAGACCAACGCTATTTAGACCTGATGAAAACAGAAGCAAGCCAACCTCAGAATGCCAAACATTTGTTACCAGTTCAAGTGTTTAGCCCTGGCCTACCAAAGGGAGTCAATATGGTTAACGGCTCAACTGTAAAGAATGAAACTCCAAAAAGCACCGCATCTTCAGTGTCTGGACTGACAAATCCAAGGGGATATTCTGCTTCTCTCAGTTTGAGTTCCACAGGGCAGCACATTTACAGAATGGAGGGTTTATCTCCACACTTTTCTGGATTGGAAAAGGAACAATTCAGATCCTTGGGGAAAAGAGTCCCTGCTTTCTCTCATTTCCACTTCTATAATGCAAAGAGGCGACGTGGAGCCAGGCTCAAACCAAAGTTTCACACACATCTCTTTGCTCACAAACCTTCCCATACGGAAGGATTAGGTCCATCCTTACCTGTCCGAAGTGGCAGTAAAATTAGGATGTTGGTAAGAAGTTCTCTGTGGTGGAGGATGAATAGTCACAAAGTTTATGGTGAGAATATGCTCTTGAGTCGAAGACAGAGTAATTGTACACCAGATCCATACCTTTATCAGAGCTGCAAAATATAACCATCCTCCTTGTATCCCCCCTTTAGGCAACTAGTTTAGTCAATCCCAGAATAAAAATGGCATCAAAAAATCAAAAGGTGAGCATTTCAGAACTGTGTTATGGTTCCCTGTAAAACTCAGCTCAGATGTAAATAGACCAAGGAATTAAAAAAAATAGTTTGTCACAATAAAACTGCTGGTGGTGCCACTCTAAGTACACCCCCACAAACACATGCACGTAAGTATCTATATTCTCATTCACTAGACAAGCTGGTTAGTTGGCTCAGGTGAATAGACACAGTTAGAAACCATTGAAAAAAATTGCAGCTGAGAATAAAGTTGAACCTGCCTGAGATACGTCTATGGAGCAATATTTTTAGAAAGCTATCCTGTTTTAGAATGCTGAATTTTGTAAAGGGTGGGGGGAGAGTTTCATAGAAGTCCAGGTGGTGTTTTTTTCTTATTTTCCTTTGTTTTAGACTAATATTAAGAGAAATCTATAGAAAACCATCCACTTTGCAGGTAAAAGACTAAAAGCCATACAGGGTATTAACAGGTAATTTAGGAATGGAGAGACTCATGCTGTAAAATCTACTCTGTTCTCAGACTCAGATTAAGGTACATACAATTAATTTAGCTATTATTTCCTGTAACATATAATGTGGAATATGAAAAAAAGTGTTTTTGTATTTTTTAAAAAAATATTCCCCGTGGCTAGAGATTTAGTATGTGGGGATTTCATAACTTTTTGGTGCTTTTAGTGGCATTTTTATTTGTCAGTTTAGGAGGCTGTTGTCAACTGGCTTTAATCTAACAGAACTGTGGTTAATTGCTAGGAGAACATCATCACACCTTCATCTCAGGTGTTGAAAGAAACTGAATCTGAGATGCTGTCCAGGTACAATATGCTGTCACTAAACTGATCAAACTGTAGAACTACTTGTTAAGAATAATAAACAATTTGATCAGGATTTTGTTTTAGGTTAGTTTCTAGACTGCAAGGGCATATTTAAAATAAAGTGGAAGTTTTTAGGGATGATAATATGCTGGAGTGAGTGTGACACTACTTCTGAATTCTTGTTATTCCCGATTCAGAAAATGGATGTGAGACTGCTATATTAACCCGAAGTGAATGGAAATGCTGTGGATGTAGATGATTGAGGGTGGTTGCTTTGCTTAGCTGAGATCATAAAACGCACTGACAATCCAGAGCTCTGCTCCAACAAATTTAGATTTGCAGAGAAAGATGAAAAATGTGGGTTGCCCATTTGCTTATCCCATTATTTAAAAAAAAAAACCCCAACTAACCTATCCTTGAGATGTCTTACTCTTAAAGGAATAGTTAATTAGAACACAAAAGTAATTTAAAACTGTTCCAGTTGAATGTATCAGACAACATATTAGGCCTCCTGCCACGATTATTTGCCACAATAACTAAGTATGGGAATACTCATTTGGCACTGGTATGAATATAAAATGTAATTCTCCAACGGCATTTAATTTTAGCATGATTTAATATACCACTCAGTCTTAGCAGTAACACTTTAAAAATCAGCCTTACAGTTAGCTAGAATTTGTTAAAATATTTAAATAAGTAGTCAGGAGAGTCTAAATTATTTGAAACCATAAGACTTGAACTTTACTGATCTCAGCTTGCTCTTTGAGTCAGTCTTTTAAAAGTCGTTTGATGAAATAGTAAAAAGCTGTAAGCAAACAGGAGTTGAAGTGTGGTTTTAGATTCCTGTAATTATTTTGCAGTTTTTTTAAACCACAAATATAATTGAGTCATTGGTTCTTACATTTGTCATCTTTCAAAGCCTTAGATGTTGTTAACATTCTCTTCAGATGTATTGTATGTTTCTAATCAAATTTACTAAGGAAATTGAGAAACCACCGAATACTAAAGTATGCAATTTTGGGCATCTTGCTGTTGCCTTTTCCTTGTTTAAACTTCTCACACTAATATAGAAGATGCATTAAAAGTCTCTTCTGTTTGATAGTTGTACTTTTACTGGAAGGTGATGTAAGTGCAATTCTTTGTCTAAGTAAATATGTCAAGATAAAGTTATGGATGATAGAACTTTCCAATGTGCAAGACTGGTTGAAAAATACTGGAGTGAGTGTATGCTCTCTTGTCAAGAGTGTAGTTCTTTAGGTGTGGATTCATAAATGATCATTCTGCTTCTCAGACCATTTAGGAGGGAAATTGCCATCACAGTTCCTGCGTGGTCCAGTGCAAAATATTGTATAAATAGCAAGTGTTCATTTTTTCACTATATTCATGTAGAGTAGATAGGAACCATTTGTAAGGTAAGTCTTTTAAACTTCTATAATACATATAAAAGTAGTGGTTATTGGTCTGATATATGCTGCTCTTGATTCTACACACTAGACAAAAGAGCAGTGCTTTGTGAAATGCAATGTTTTCTCTTAATGCCACTGGTGATAGGAAGTAGTTCTCTTCAGTTCAAAATCCTGTGCCCTTATTTGCTGCTTGCTAATGTAAGCAATAAGTTCCCCTCTAACTAATGGTATTTAAATGTTCTGTATCTTGTATTTTGATCGTCTATCTGGTGATAATGTAAAAAAAAAATTAGACAAATATAAAAGTATCTCTATAAATGTATTTATTAACTGTTAATTCTAAGATTCAGTCTGACACTTGTGTTTTGTAACTTTATTGTGTATCTTAGTAGTGGTGAAATTTGTATAACCTTTCCAATAAAGAGCTGAAGTATCCCTTTTTCAAGTTAACACAATCTGCATCAGTTTCAGTTTACCTATTAAACATGTTTTGCAGGAATAAAAGGTAGGTAGTGAAAATAAAATATTGTGTTGGTTTTGAGAAATGGACTTCAGGCTTTTTGTCTGAAGCTGTTCAGAACTCACTGGTATGCTATTCACTGTGAGTTTTAAAGGGATTAATTTAATCCCCCCTCTAATAGTTTCCAGTGTACACTTTTTAAATGTGCAACTCTTGAGGAATGTCTGCTGTTGCAGAGAGCAGTATAGCACCAGACCAGGGAGCTGTTAACCCATTTCAATTTGCACTAAAGGTGTGGAAACATGTAAATAACTTTTCTTTACCTAAAAGTGCCATCAATTGTCCTTGCAAGTTAAAATAATTCACTATTTATTTAGTTTAGTCTGCAGTGTAACATTTAAGGACAATGTCAAAGCAGATTTTAACTTATACCACATTTACAGTGGTACATTGTCAAACTCTGCTCCATTTTTGGAACACGGTCTGTGAAAAATGCATTGTGTTATGGACAGATAAACATGAGGTACAAGAAATTCAGTGTTTACAGATATGACTGCTGTAGTTCAAGTCCACTATGCTATCCTACCTACCACTGGGTAATTCTTACTCTAGCAGTGTCCTGCTGTAGCACTGAGAAAGATTGATCTAAATTAGTGGCTGTTTTAGCACAGTGTATTCACTCATTCAACACTAGTCACATAGACAAAGCCATTAAAGGGGATACTACAGCTTTGTTCATGCCTACAATTTAGGACAATCTTTCTTTGGATCATAACTCTGCAACAGCAAATAAAACTTTCTACCCTTATAGCATGCAATAAATAACAGTGAAGCATAAATGCAACCTCTAACGTAAATGTTCATGTCCTTTTCCAGTCATTGTTAACCAGGCTTAAAGCACTGTAGCTGCCAGCATTAAAACATCAGAGAAACCCCCCACTTCAAAGACTTAATTCAAGTATTTACAAGTTGACTGCATTTGTTTTCTTTTACTTACATCTTTCTTTGCTGCATTTCTTTACCTTTAAATTAGAAGAAACTGAAACAGGACTAGGGAAAGTTGGCAGAGATTGATCCTGTTTTCTTAAAGTAGTAACTTGTTTTTAGAACTCCAGGTGTGGTGCCAGCTCCTACATTGGGTGCTTCTGTTGAGAGATACTTGTTCTCTATGAAGTGATTAAATTAATCATTTTTATGCTACAGTGTTCGGATCTTTCCATTTGCAACCTTGTTCTACAGCTCATGAGGTCAGTTGTAATCCATGTAACAGTCATCCATATTTTATTTAAGTGTTTACGGATAAGGACTATGTTGAAATTTTATCAATATCTTAATAAAACAATTTAAAACATTTTTCAATGGTCTACTTATTTAAAGGCAAATTCAGAATAGCAAACTCACATTCCTTGTGCTAAACTGCTTCTGTACAGTAGTCTAATGGGATTTTACTGTTTAACTCTAGATGAAGGGCTTCAATTTGAATTCTAAACTGCTTTTACCTACTACTAAAAATGCATCTGACTCATGCAGACTAGGAAGCAGGAGCATCTGACCATGGTGCTGCAATTTAAACAAATCTAGAATTAGGAGTAGGTTGTAGCTCCCTAAACTGTAGCTTAATTGGTATCTTGTTACCTCTCTCTAGAGGAGCCATGTATTGAATGTTCTCTTATCTATTTTATAACAAAGAAAGGGATGTGCAGGATTTGAAGGACACTTAGTTGTAACAGTTGACTTTGTGCCATTTTCAGCAATAGCCCATTAGTGGAAGGGCAACAGTTGCATACTTCAAACCTACATTTTTAGCAATGTTTAAAAAATACAGGGGATCTGTTAGCGTTAAATTTTCCACACTGCTTCAAGGACTAAATAGCTTAGAATTTTGGATGGGCTCTGTAAGGCCCTGCAGACCTGGCACTAGCTGCTGTATGATTGGTATACTAACTGCCTGAGCATTATTCACAAGCTGTCTTAACACTTCAACTAAAACACACCAGTCCCTCACACTCCATTGTATTGAACAGTATATAAGCAAAAGCTTCTAGATGAGTTTCATTATGAAACTGGAGCTAATGTAGTTCAGGAAACTATATGACTCCCTCTCCACTTGATTTTTACACAGAGCAGCTCAAATGGGTTAGTTTTTTTTGCTGTTTAAAATAAAGATTTTTCCAGGAAATGGATTAAAAATGAAAGCTAGGTATCTACACCTAAGAACAGGCTCTTGCCCCAGGACCCCTTCTAGTCGAAAGTGTAGCACCTAGGACAATCTTTCAAATAATGAGCTGTTCCCATAGCTCTAGTGGTGGCTGCTGGTCCTCATTTCTAAATTATCAAGCAGGACACAAGGTTCTGGACTTGGAGATGTTCACAAAGGACTCAGCTCCTTGATACTTAAAAGCATGAGAATACAGACCAATGGTTTGGATCCATAAACGCAGCAGCACAAGTGCTAGTGAACTTGGAGAAAGGTGTTACTAGAAAGACATGTAGGGAACAAAGTGTATGGGCTTCTGGGGCCCTATAACACTCGAATAACCAAAGACCTACATGAGACATGGAGTCAATTTATCCCTCCCAAGTCTCACGTGGCTTAGAATCAACTTAGACTGCTCCTGTAATCAGGATGGGAGGCAATGCCCGGTTAGCAAAACCAGTGAAAGAGGGTTAAATCAAATACACCTTAACATGAATTCAAAAGCCAAGGCTAAAATTCAACAGAATGGGAGAGCTCAAACTACTCACAATGAATGCTTCTACCTACATCCTCTTCACACAGCCTACTACCTGATGAGTACTGTATTTGAGAGAGCCTAGATCATTGATACACAAACTGATGATACAGTGAACAACACTGCAGTCAAGCTCAAGACAATGACTAAAGAAATCCACATTATAGTAGAGACTGAAAGAAGTGGAATTTAAGGAGGGGAGGGTGGGTATTTGGTTCATGAGGAAGTGCCTACGGACTATTGGTTGTGGAAGACACACAGCATTTCATTTGGAGCAGACTGTGGCCTGAACATACTGGTTCAGTGCCACTAGGATGTAGATTAAAAAAAAAAAAAGACTGAACACTAACCAGGTAGTATATTTCTGTCCCATCAGCACCTGCCCCTTCAAAATAATTTCACACAGTATTTCAATCTTCATTTTATTAACAAAAAGTGCAAACAGTTTTAAACTAAACGATATGATTTGTACGCACTTAAACACTGGGGAACATTACATACAAAACGAATGTTTCAGCAAGTACAGTCAGATGAGAAGAACTCACCTAACATTTATACACTTATTCATGCGTTTTCACCAGCCAGTGATTCAGCTTTCATTATTGCTTCACAAAACATCTTAGCTGCTCAAATGCAATGCACAGTGGTAAAAAGTTTGGCAACGATGTTCTCAGTTGGTCCAAATTAGAGACTGAAGAACACAAATATGAACTAACTCTTGTGCAGGTCACTTTCACCCTAACTTTAAATAGCTTAGATCCCTATGAATACAACTACAATGTTATTTCATACTATTAATAATAAAAAGGGAAGGATCTTCCCCCACATTCTCTGCTGTATCAATCGTAAGGAGACAAATATGAACAAGGCTCTAGCACCTTTTGAACATTTGTTCAGAATCTGCATTTGAACCTGCCAAAGCCATGAAAAATACAGTCTTGCTAAGGTTTTTCATAGGGCAACTTGCCCTATTAACAGGTTTAAAACAGCCATGGAAGAACTACATAATCTTTTATATTCAGCACAATGGAATGTGCACACCCTACGAGAAAAATACAGATGGAATAAATAAGCATTATGAAGTGTGCCTCTTCTCAGGGACACAAGCAGGCTAGTGTTAATCCAACTCTTCAAAGTCTTCTGCAGTCAACAAGCCAATCCTCTACCTAGCCCAAAAGAGACAGTTCATATGCAATCTCAGTCATTAAAAAGAGCCTATAGTAGTAGCGCTATTTTGTGGATTAGAAAGGATTTAGGGTGCTTAAATCTAAAAATTCCCAAGATAAGTACATAAATACTAAATTGACAACCAGCAAGGAGTAGGAGAATGTGAGCCCCCCCCCAATCAGCCCTGCTTTGGTGCTATATTACATCTAGCAATTGCATTATCAACAAAGCAGATTAGTTAACAGGTCTTGACATTTTAAGTAAATCAAAGAAATGGAGCAGGATCTCATCTACTTTCAGCAGCAATGGGAAAGTGGGAAGTATTTACAAGTTGTAGGATATTAGTGATTACATAATGCCCTTCCATCTTTATATCCTTCATGTAAATGAGCACTGCAGGGAGCATTTGCACCACATTGGGAGTATTTCAGATGGAGTGGTCAGTTTCTTGACACAGCAAAATTTTATACTATCAAACCAAATTACAGAAAGACTTAGGTTAACTGCCATTAAGTCAATGGTGTTCTTATTTTAGCATTTACCTTGTATTGTCCTCTCCAGTACCAAAGCTGAGGTCTTCAGGGCCTATTTGATCACCTTCAGAAAAAACTGAACACAGCTCTAATACTGAAAAACAATTAATATGGCATCCTTAAAGACCAAGTCCCCAAACCAGTTAAATTTAAAAATCTATAAATTTAATGAGCTCTATAATCAGCAATTCTTTCAGAGATTAAGATTTCATTCTTAACATATGAAAGACAGATACAAAGTTGGAACCCTTATTCTGAATTAGTCTGCTCTACAATTTTAAAACTATGATGGTGGAGTACAAATTGGTGGTTTAAATTTTTTTGTGAGTCAGCAATGTAATATTCAATGTTATGCTGTGGAGTTCTGCAGTAAACTACTAATTCAGAATAAGACATTGATCTTCCACTGATTTATATTAGGCTATTAATATTGTTATTTATTCCAAACCA